GCTGAATCCTCCAATTGCAGCTGCAGCCAATGCAGTCAAAAACTCCAACTTGGCTCCCCCCAATTCTCTGTTCTTTCCATCTCTTGGGGCCTGGYCCAGGGAGGTGTCCTTGAGTTTGGGGCTGCAGAGGAATTGTTTTGTGTCAAAATGGGAGAGCAGGAACTCAGCACTGTCTGAGTTATCCACTGGAGAATCCCAGGGTTACAGAGACGTGGAAATAGAGAAATTAAATCCTAAAGCATCGAGCAGACACCTTCCTTGGTCAGAAAGTCTATCCCACAATGCTGGGAAGGGCTTGCAGGTGGAAGCAGAAGTGCCACATGCCAAGGCGATTCCACATCCCAAAGGYATCATCCTCTTTCACACCATTTTCCCCAAAATCTCTGCATGCCATTTCCTGCTCCATCTTTTCCATACTTCCACTTTTTCCCCTTCCTTGGCTGTGTTCCTGTAAATCTCCCCTATCCCTTGGTCATCTCCAAGGAGCTGGGAAGTGCAATTCACTGTTCCTAAGTGTTGTTTTCAGCTCCACCAGCTTCTGGTGACGCTCATTAGATGGCTTTTGCAAGGGCAATTTCCCCTGTACAAAACAATTTAAAAGTCCACTTTTCAGGAGTAAAGGAGGCTTTGCAACACTGAAATCTCTCCGCAGGATCAAACTCTTAATCATTTTTCTGCTGGAGCTTCTTCACATGGAAAGTGGAGGGAGAAAAAGGCCAAGAGGTTTAATTTCAACTGGGATCATTACAAATAGCTGCTATTAATTACAAACTGTATTTATCAGGGTTTGTCTTCGTGTCTGCCAATGATGATATTACTTTTTTTTTTTTGTCCCCTGAAGGTCCCCCTGTGTTCATAAAGAAGCCTGTGGACCAAATTGGTGTGTCGGGAGGGGTGGCCTCCTTCGTGTGCCAAGCTACCGGAGACCCCAAGCCCAGGGTCACCTGGAACAAGAAAGGGAAGAAAGTGAACTCTCAGAGGTTTGAGGTAAGAGCTGAAAAATCCCAGCTGTCCCTGAGATCTGGTGTCTGTGTGAAGAGAGAGACTGACACAAAGCAGCCCCTGCTCCTCTTGGGGCGTTCTGGGACCTGATAATGAAGGGAAATTTGGAAGGGGAGGAGTTTTAGCAGCAGGAGGAGTGAAATGCAGGCTCTTGGCAGTGTCAACAGCTGGGTTTGTTCCAAAGCARGGAGAAAACTTGGCTCAATTATATTTTTATTCAAATATATCATTTTTAATTTTGTTTTGTTGGGGTTTTTTTTTCCCATTCCTGGGCTATAACTTCCTCCTTCCCTAAGAAACCCCAACTAAACCGGTGGCACTTCAGCTCTGCAAACGAAAACCTTTCCTACCCGTCCCTGGTTCAGCATTTTAATCCTGGGACAGTCTGGAGTAAACACTGCAGTTGTTGGCAAGCAGAGCCAAGCAATTGGCATTGTTTAGATAGAAATGAGAGYGGAGGAGCAAGGCCTGGGAGGTCACGCTGTGGAATTCGCTGTGGGACTCAGCCCTGCCAGGCAGCTGCGTGCTCAGAGGAGCTTTGTGGTGTCAGCTGCCCCTGCAGATGGAGGAACGAGGCAGGGGCTCGTTTTTTATTTTGTTTTCCTTTGGGTTGTTTCATCCTCTTCATCTCAGTCGYGCTCTGAGCACTCACCCCACACCCTGGCTCGTTTTTTTGGAGCCTCTGAGGTTCACACTGTGGGTTTGGYGGGGTGGTGACCCCTGGCAGGGTTTGACTGTGACAATTGTGTCACCTGAAGGTCACTGGGGAGCCGAGCTGGCCATGTGGGGGCCTTGGGGTCTCCTTTGGAACGAAGCTTCCACTTGGAGCCCAAGGATGTTTATTAATGTGTGTCTCTGTGTGCCTCTGTCCTCCAGACCATTGAATTTGACGAAAGTGCCGGCGCTGTTTTGAGGATCCAGCCCCTCCGGACTCCCCGCGACGAGAACATTTACGAGTGCGTTGCTCAGAACCCTCATGGGGAGGTCACTGTGCACGCCAAGCTCACCGTCCTCCGAGGTAAAGAACCTGGCCAGGGTCACGGGGGAAGGGGCCCTTCAGCTCTTCCCTCCCCTCAGCTGGGTGGGAGGGGTGTTAAAAATCCATGGCTAAGGCACAAAGTCCTCCTGGAGTTGGTTTGGTTGAGTTGAGTTGAGTTGAGTTGAGTTGAGTTGAGTTGAGTTGAGTTGAGTTGGGTTGAGTTGGGTTTGGTTTGATTGGTTTGGTTTGGTTTGCTTTGCTTTGCTTTGCTTTGCTTTGCTTTGGCTGGGTTTGGTTGGGTTTGGTTGGGTTTGGCTTGGCTTGGTTGGATTTGGTTTGGTTTGGTTTGGTTTGTTCTGGTTTTGGCTTCTGGTTCAGTTTGGTTTGGTTTGGTTGGATTTGGTTTGGTTTGGTTTGTTCTGGTTTTGGCTTCTGATTCAGTTTGGTTTGGTTTGGTTTGGTTTGGTTTGTTCTGGTTCATTTTGATTTGTTCTGGTTCATTTTGGTTTGTTCTGGTTTCTTCTGGTTTTTTCTGKTTTTTTTCTGGTTTCTTCTGGTTCTGGTTTCTTCTGGTTGTTCTGGTTCATTTTTTGTTTGTTCTGGTTTATTCTGGTTCATTTTGGTTTGTTCTGGTTTGTTCTGATTGTGGTTCTGGTTTCTTCTGGTTCTGGTTTGTTCCAGTTTGTTCTGGTTTGTTCTGATTGTGGTTCTGGTTTCTTCTGGTTCTGGTTTGTTCCAGTTTGTTCTGGTTTCTTCTGGTTTGTTCCAGTTTGTTCTTCTTCTGGTTTCTTCTGGTTTCTTCTGGTTTCTTCTGGTTTATTCTGGTTTATTCTGGTTCATTCTGGTTTATTCCGGTTCATTCTGGTTTATTCTGGTTCATTCTGGTTCATTTTGCTTTGTCCTGCTTTGTTCTGGCCTCTCAGATCTTTGTAGGATCCAGAACTAAACCCGGCCCCCTTCAGGAGGTCGAACTGGATTTTGTTCTGAGTTTCCCCCCAACCCGAGTTACCGAGGGACTCTCACCATCTCCCTCCCCTCCAAAAACCCCTTSCCCAGTTTTAGGAACATCACACACAGAAACGTGGCTCAGGAAAAACCTTCCCTGAGGAATCCCTCGATGGGCTGGGGTTGGGACTGTTGTGAATCTCCCTGAGCTTTCACACAGCTGCGACCAACAGAATTGTTTTTCCTCTTGTGCCTTTCTGGGCTTCTCCCCTCTTCCCAGAGGTCCTTGGCTCCGTGCACTCTCCAAGAAAACAGTTTTCCCTTCTCCATTTTGTTCTGCTGCTTTTTCCAAGTCGTCCCCGTTGCAGAGGATGTTTACACGGCTGCCTCCCTCGTGTCATCTGTTTGAAACACGCTCCCTGAACCGCCTGTGGGGGAGGRAGCTGCCGTTCTGGATGTTTGCTGTCATCACCCTGGAGATCCCTGAGATCCCTGAGTGCCCAAAGTGCCCCATTTGAGGGTTTAGGATACCCTAAAACCCATCAGGGATGTTCTGTGTTCAGACCCCAGGGCACTGCGGGTGATGCTGGTGGCAGTGGGGTGTGGTGGATCGCTGCCCCAGAGCTCCCGAGAGGATTTTGGCTTTGGGGAATTCAGCTTTGGGAATTCAGCTTCGGGTAGTTCAGTTTTGGGGAGTTCAGTTTTGGGGAATTCATCTTGGGGAGTTCAGGTTTAGGGAATTCAGTTTTGGGGAGTTCAGCTTTGGAGAGTTGAATTTTGGTGAATTCAGTTTTGGGGAACTCAGTTTTAGGGAGTTCAGCTTTGTGGAATTCAGTTTTGGGGAATTCTGCTTTGGGGAGTTCAGCTTTGTGGCATTCAGTTTTGGGGAATTCAACTTTATGGAGTTCAGCTTTGAGGAGTTCAGCTTTAGGAATTCATCTTGGTGAATTCATCTTGGTGAATTCATCTTGGCCAGGGATGAAGCCATGGCTGTTTGAGTAGCGTTTTTTTTGTTTTTTTTTTTCACTGGCAGTAAAAGCCCTTCTCTCTGCAGTGACTGTGCCTGACAACGATTTCAGCAGCTCCAGGCAGTGTTTAAACCCCACAGGACCGTGCAGCAGCTCTGCCCATGGTCCAGCTGCTTTTCCTGCAGCAATTCCAACGTTCCTTTCCACGAGCAGCTCCAATCCTCCCGTGTGAGCRCAGAGCCAAACTGGGAGTCCCCAGCGTGAGGCAGTGTCGTGGGTTTAAAACCTGATTTTTTCCCAAATTTCCCGGCCAATGCACCAGAAAATGTC